ATTTCGTTCTTGTCAGGCAACGTGATCGAGGGCTAGTGACGGACGCGAAGACAGTGCCGTACGAGACAGTCGCTACGCAACATCGACCACTGATTTGCACATTAAAGATTGCCCCTCCAAGGACCAAGAAAGCCGAACGGTGTGGGCCTGCAAGGATCAAGTGGTGGCGATTGAAAGAAAAGGAATCCGCGCTCTGTTCAGTCGCATTCGGCTACCGCCAGTAACGACTGTCGACGAAACATGGAAATGTGCCACAGAAACGATAGTCCGTGTTGCTCGCTCCGAGCTTGGCATTACGAAGCCTGGACGGCGGAAAATCGACAAGCAGACATGGCTGTGGACCGACACTGTCAGAGAAAAAGAACGGGTGAAGAAAAGGCTCTCAGTGTTTTCGTGACAAGTGAGCGATAAGAACAACTATCAGAGCGCCGCAAGAGGCGAGCAAGAAGACTGTGGCTGTTGCCAGGAGCATAATTGATGGCGTTAGCGAGAAGCTCGAAGACGCGCGACGGCGAACGCTATATTTACAAACTAGCCAAGGCTCGCCATCGCCAGACCGAAGATATCGAGAAGTTCTTTGGCATCAATGACGAGAACGGGCGACTCGTAATGGACCGCAAGAGGGCTGTGAAGCGGTGGCACGACTACTTCGAGAAAATCTCGACAGTGGAATTCTCACACCAATCCCTTCCTATGCTCCGGTCCACGGCCCTGTCTCGAAGATAACTGTGAGCGAAACAGAGGCGGCTTTGAAGAAGATAAGACAGGTAAAGCAACGGGTCCCGACGACTTGGCGGCCGATCTGTGGAAGTCACAGTGCTGGAATCCAGCAGAGTGGCTGACGACTTCTTCAACCAAGTCGTCGCAGAAAAGAAAGTGCCGGAGAGTTGGCAACAGAGTACGACGATCCCGATTTGGAAGAAAAAGGGGAGTCCTGCAGATTGCACGAGCTACCGACCAATTCGTCTGCTCTCCCACAGCATGAAGGTATTCGAACGAATTGTAGATCGCCGTATTCGTGACATAGTCCAGCTTACCGTGAACCAATGCGGCTTCGTGACTGGCTGCGGCACCATTGATGCCATACACGCCGCTCGTCTTCTGCTAGAAAAACACCGTGAAAAACAAAAGCCGGTGCATTTGCCTTTCTAGACTTGGAAAAGGCTTTTGATCGCGTTCCACGTGAAGTAATATGGTACGCCTTACGACAACATGGCGTCCCCGAAGAGCTTATCGAGTGGGTTCGCATGCTTTACTCAAGCCCAAAGAGCCGAGTGCAAACGTCAGCTGGCGTTTCGACAGAATTCCCCATCTCTGTTGGGGTACATCAGGGCTCTGCGCTTTCCCCACTTCTTTTCGTTTGTCGTCATGGATGCCATCTCACGAGACCTCAGAAACCAGCTCCATGGACGCTTCTCTATGCTGATGACGTGATGCTCGCCTGCGAAGACAAAAACGTACTCGAACAACAAGCGCAAGCTTGGTGCGATCGCCTAGCGATGTTCGGACTCAGGTTGAACGTTAGGAAGACTGAGTACCTGACAACCGACACGAGCGAGTGCGGTTCTATCAAAATAAATGGAGTAGAGCTGACACGTGCAACGACATTCAAGTACCTTGGATCAGCAATTGCGTCTGATGGCAGTATGAGTACTGAGGTGAACTCGCGTGTGAGTGCGGCTTGGTCCAAGTGGCGTTCTATGACGGGAGTTCTCTGTGACAAGAAAATCCCAGAACGCCTAAAATCGAAGATCTATAGGACAGTCATAAGACCAGTGGCATTGTACGGCGCTGAGTGCTGGCCAGCGACCAGGGACACTGAAACTCGCCTCGGTGTAATGGAGACGAAGATGCTGCGCTGGACGGCTGGTGTCACGCGATTAGATCGCGTCCGGAACGATGTCATACGAGAACGCTTTGGTGTAGCTCCCATTGCTGATAAAATGCGCGAAGCTCGGCTTCGTTGGTTTGGCCACGTTCTTCGCGGAAATGATGACAGTGTTCGCAAGATCGGCCTCAACATAGACGTGCACGGAAAGCGGCCCAAGGGGCGCCCGAAACAGCGCTGGCTCGATACGTTGCACGCAGACTTGAAGTTGGTTAACATCCACCCCGACCAAGCATTTAATCGGGAAAAGTGGCGACAGCACATCAGAAAAGCGGACCCCGCCAACAAGCGGGACAAACGCTGAACAATAAGACGAAGTCTAGCACATAACGAAATTGCCTCAAATTGAGATATGACATACAAAATTAAGTCCAGAATACGACGGGAGGGATAATTTCCAAAAATCCATAATCATCTTTGAGAAATAAGATTTTTATAAGAAATGGCGCGTCAAGAGTTTGGAAACTTTTTGTTTCCCACATCATTATGATTCCTACTCTTCAATGTTCACTTGTTTTTGTTAATTTTAGTTCAACCATTGAGTAATGTGTAATTTCAAAATGAATTCATATGCAAAGGAAGCAGTTTTTCATGGAGGTCCTTTTTTTAAACCTGCAATCCGGAACGAAATAGAAATTGTTTGTTAGTATGTTCAGTCTCTACGAAGCAATTATATCGAATGTTTTTAGTGTTTTTGGAGCAAGTAAGCATAAGACGAATGATCATTCACAAAAAAGTATTCTCACAAGAAAATTGGCCCTCATCAAATACTTCGAAGGGTGGTTGGCACGCCCCGTACCCGATATACCAACTAAAGAATTGTTCTGTATTGAAAGGTCCAGAGAGCAATATCGCCGACGCGTGAATATTAGTAGCGGGGTTGCCATAGGACTCGTGGCTTCAGAGCAGATGTCCAACCGGCTGACACACTAAAGGCGACGGACCTGAGGCGGAGGTGAACTTTTGCCTCAGCGACGAGCAGGATTTCTGTCTTCCTAAAAATGATGTTGTGGAGTCTGTGAGATGTCAGCCATATGGAAACCTTATTTAGAGTATATGATCCCAGCATTCAGAAATAGTGGAGTTACTGCCATGGATGGAGATGTGTGCGACCATTCGGCGATTCTCCAGTTCTATGTTAATTCGCAATGTGGTTGTGGCTGAGTACGAGAACAGTCTATAGATTTCAATGCTTCTCTTCGATAGTCAGAACTGGCCGAAAAAGATGGGTTTTCTATCGTGGAAATGACCCAATGCAGGCCTACCTCCTCACTGCCGCCTTCCTAAACCCAGAAAAAGAAGCTGTTATGAAGCGACCAAGTCGAGATCTAAAGTCCAATTGAGTTCTACATCCCACGGAAGAACTGGCATGTCGCTCAACACATTCCAGTTAGAATCCCACCAAACAATGCGATTTAGTTCACAGTGTGCAGGGGTTCGACTTGAAGGTCGCTAAAATCATTTATATGTCAATCGTGCCAATAAATTAGCTCACATAGAAATTCAAGCTAGTTATCAAATTAGTTAATTATCATTGTAAGTATTCGAACTTTTTGCGATTCTGTGATGGATAGGAATCTGAACGCGCCATGCTTATAAAAGATCCTTTCAGCGGAATCTCCTTTTTCGAAAATATGTTGCTGTATTGTAATCTACACTTGATTCTGTATAATGTAGAACGAATTTGTACATTTTTGTAGCGGTACAAGAGATCCAAAAGAAGTTTTCCGAAAGCTTTTGACCGCTACTGTTTATAGCATGAGAACACGGGTTTTCGAAAAGCGGATCGTGTGGCTGAATACCTTCATGGTAGGCGCAATCGCATTCTCGGCCTTAGTCATTCGGCATATTTGTGGAGTATGGTACCGCACGCGCTCAGAAGGTTACATATTCCCTAATCGGCTATGACGCCATTTGTCAATATTGATGAAAAATACGTTAAAATAGAAAGTACGAGCAGCAAAAAGAGTGTACCACATACAAAGTGGCTGACAGCGCAATCCAGTAGCATGAGTTCACCCTGTCGTGGATTATTCATAGTACCTTTTCGTAAATCCGATTAGGTACTGTTGATGTGTACGTGCTACGCACAAACTATTTATGCGACGTGACTCATTCGATAGGTCTATCTCTTATCCCCACAGCGCATAAATTAAGCCCATTGGGTCCAACTTTGTTGATAATATTTATTTTCACTAAATCAACAATCTATAGCACAATAACCGACGGCGAGTATGCAGTTAACACTATTAATTTTAGAAAATTGCCATTAAGAGTGGTTTTTGAATTTGCAAAGAATCCATCCTAAATTGGCCTATGTTACATTTATTGTTGTCCAGTGGCAGCCTTCAGCAACGCGTCAGCAACCTGAAATGGTCGTATTTAGTTGACTAAGCACAATCTCAAAATTTATTTATTATACATTTTACTGAACACGTGTAACCTTCATTTCACTGTCAAGGTCACAGTGAACAAGACAGAAGTATAGTAAATGTGATTTAACAGTTTGACAGGACGTCTGGATAAAGGCTTCCAACACTTGAATAGCTGGCACACGAGAATCGGGATTTTCCGTATCTTTATTGTCTCGTTAAGTTTCTTTTCATGTGGATAATCATATTGCCACAGTTCAAATGGAAGGTAGATCAACGAAAATCACCTCAGCTCGTATTAAAGTGCCTTCATTAGCTATTCATTCCTCTAGCGGCCGGTGGGAGCTGTTGCTAATTCCGTTTCGCCGGCCTGAAAATTCAGGAAAATGAAACGGTCAAAGAAGAAAATGGAGACAAAAAACGATCTTATTACCCAGTGCACTAACGAAAACATCGTTGGTAAACAGCTCAGAATTCATCTTACTCCTTACAAATACTACTGTTTCACGTGCAAGTCAAAAAGAATTTCTAATATGGGAATATCGCTTCTTATCAACTGTGGCAGCAAAACTGACTACAACAGGCATATGAGAGGCAGAATGATATCGCACAAGTTTGTACAAGTACTAGCTACTATACGGCTAGCACCCTGAAGGCTGTGCATATCCTTTTCTCACGGAAAGAATTTTAACAGAAGATGTCGACTCACTGCTTGATCAATATCTTCAATTTTTACAACCTCTTCGGCTAGAACTTGGCAGGAACCATCGATATTCATCGACAATGTGCCCGAGGAGACGAAGAGCTTTCGTCACATTACCTTGAAAATATAACTTTACCAATGCATTTTATTGATATAATTTAATGCAGAAAAGTAGCAGAATATATATGTATACCCTCGTGTTCATCTGCCAAGCAAAACAAACGTAGACAGTGATATCTGGGTTGATAGTTATGCACAGTTGGACGGTGTATCAGATATTAGTCCTGCAGACACATGAATAAAGTGGCTTCACTAAATACTGAACTTGCAGATAGTACGCAACAGAACATTAGCTGATAGCAGATTAAACCATTGCGGACCGCGTGCTGCACATGGTGCAGCACGCCACCATGCGGAGAAGGACAGCAATCTTTGATTTTTTCAGCATTTTGTTAAGTTACAATCATTGGTTTGCTTTTTTGGACACAGGATATATCACTTAGTGGCATACTGGTTAAATTTTCGATAGGTCATTAGCCACTGATTAGACAGATGACAAAAACCTACGGAGGTGCAATTATAACGGCGGTCCGCAATGGGTTAAAGAGAGCAGTGTTCGTTAATAATGTGACCATTTCGAGCACCGATTATGTGTATCCAACAAAGGAGATGTCTAGTATGTATTAAGCGTTGCCCAAAACTTCGTTTACTGTGGGTTTTCACGTTTGTAAATACAACAAGGTTAATTTTCGCTGAGCGCCCATGGAGGACGAAAAAGTAGGTGGTGAACGAATTTTTGCAGCCATTTCCGATTTGCTTGAGTGCGGCGGAATTGAGAGGATTCTCTGAATAATGTAGCATTCTAAATGGATTAGCGAATGTGCCCAGAACGAATCACTCTTTCAAATTGGAATTTTTTGTGGAAAAAAGAATTTTTTGCAATGTTTATCACTTGTGAGCTAATATAGTGTAGTAGAATTTGAGAGTATGTGACACCACAACAAACGAGAAAGCTGTGAATTGGCCTGCTTCTTAATATGGTATTATGATCGGACAATTTCGAATTTCTTTGATATGTCGAAAAAGCTTACTATCTTGCACTACATTATATCAAACGTTTTTGATAAGAAATTGAATATATCGGGTCTTTGAAAATGACTGAAAAATAACTAGCACTTTGCTAAGACCAGCGCCGATTACTGTGCACTTAAACACAAAAAATGTAGTGCTATCAAGCAGCACAATTAGTGGGAAGCATTAATTAGAGGGGGAGGTTCGACGGTAGTAAGGAGGCATAGGAGAACACGAGTTGATGCATTGCCATTTCTTACATCCCGTTCTTTGCAGACGTCTCGACATTGAACTTGCCCTTGAGGTGATAAAAAAAGACTCACGCTCTAAGAAAAAATATTGGATCCGCATGATCTAAATATGACCTTCTGTCAATGCATAGAATATCGAGGACGCGCATTAAACTATAGCAATGGTGACAGTATAACCAAGAGCGCAACGATCTTACTGTATTTACAGCAGAAATAAGAGGGAAGGATTATGTAGGGATATCCAGTGGATNATATGAAGTTCCTAACCTTCATTATCAGTCACTGATACAACGCCTGGCTTCAGCACTCCAATAGTGGGTACGTGGTTGGCAAGAACACCGACCATGCCAGCGAGGGTAGGTACATCAACTTGTTTAACTACCGCATTGTTGAAGAATGCCTGAAAACTAAATCCATGTCTGAAAGGAGATTCGCATGAAAACATGAAAAACTAAAATAACGGTTTCTGAAGACTACAAAACAGGTAGGTGTTACAATCCTAAACTTAATTAAAGCAATAACACCAGCACGCGTTTCGCCTTTTTTGTGTGCGTAATAAAGCGCAATTGGCACTGTTGCTGCGTCTCCACTGAAGCTAGTATCTGTCCACTTGGCAAAAAGTGTGTCGCTTGTCGAGAAAGTCGGGCAATTGCGTTAACGCCTGGCTTCAGCCATCTCATAGTGTGTTGTTAACCGCAATAAATGTGAAGCGCTGCCCAACACTGAATTGTACCAGTCCTAGCAACCCTTGAGGGCTAACGAGAAAATGATTATACGACAAAAAAACAAACAAAGGAGAGTATCAAAAACTTGAACGATAGCATCTATCTAACTTATTTTATAGAAACCATCACGCAACTCACATTACGCACGACCTTTCATTTGAAGTTTGCCATCGCCATCAAAAACACCTCATATTTCTTCACGTATTTTTCGAAAAAGTGAGATAAACAAAGTCGGTGTTTTAGCTTTTGTCACAGGTGGGGCGATTCATACCGAAAATGCAACGGGGAAAAGAATGGTTACGGATGGACCAGGGGAAGTTGTGCACAGCACGAACGAGGAGTTTGCGAAAAGTGTTGTTTGAGAGACGATTGACTGTTAGATGAACACGCCTATGCTCAGCGTGGGCGCGAGGAGTTTTTCGCACTTTGGCTGTTCGCGTTCGTTCGATGGCGCGGACGCAAGCGAGAGATAAACGCATGTCGATGAATAGGAGTCGCAAGGCTCGAAGCACGAGCGAACGGCGTCGCCAGGGGCACCCGGTGTGGAATCGAGACGGAGGGATCTGGTGCGGGCAGAGTCGCAGAGGGCCGGGCGGGTGTTGGGGCGGGGGCAATTGGAACCATTGGAAACCTGCCCTTGTAAAATATAACAAAATAAAAAACGGTTTCAAGACGGAAGAAGGAAAATAGCCTTTGCATTCAGAAGCCTACAAAAGAAAGATCCGAAAACAATTATGAAATGACATCTCGATCAAATATATCAACAACACGCAATAAATTGAGAGTTCGAGAGGATAAAAAGAACTCGATCAAGTAATCAACGACGTGGACCAACACATGCCGCTGAATACATCCGACGCGTATGTTAAGAGACCACTAGAACGAGCGGTGAGACGATCGGATCTTTACTGCGCTTAACGCTTGACGGATAGTCGCTGCAATGCATGGTCTATTTTCTTAGAGGGGCTTGTATGAATTATTAGGGAAAGAGATTTGGTTTTACGACCGCAATGACTAACTGAGACGGAGGTCTGACCCGCCCGCGTAAACAGTATAATTTGTGACTCACGCCGAAGAAGCGCCTCTCACCCTATCGGCACACAGAAATTCCTCGAACAAAATCTACATGATAATTACGTGCGGGAATTTCACTGACTCCGCAGAACGACTTAAGATTTTCAACGGAGCTATTGCTGATACCCTGTACATCTGTAATTTTCCTACAGCGGGAGTTTCCCTTTAGGGTTGGCGAGCAGTTGTTTCAGATTTAGGGCCTGAGATGGTGCCATCCCTAAGCGCAGTGGGAACTTCACGCCTTCGTGGAGTGTGGAAGTGGACACTAGAAGTTCAAAAGAGAACACACCAAGGTAACATCACAATGTCCTCATGTACAGGCAATCATGAAAATTGAAGTACAGTTGCTTTTTCGTACCGTTGTGTTCGTGTTTGAGGCTGTTGTCGAATAACTGTGGTGGATTACTTAACAATTGCAGTCCAGAAATTGCGGGTTAAGCAGAGGGAAATTAATGGTAAAAAAAAAGGTTGGAAGGGAATCAAAATTCATTCCAGAAGTGGATCACGTCTTTCCGGCACGTTCAGCAGTCCTCACATTTGAGGTTGAGCGAACAGGTGGGTGCGCCGGTCAATGAGAGCGTAACTTGGAAGCTAAGGCAAGAGACGGGAGGGGGGAATCCGACTGAGCATGTTGTTTTGGTTATGGTTGGGACGAGTTGGCAAAGCGCGGCAAGGGAAACAAACCGACCGTGCGCATGGGGAGAAACCAGGATAAAGAGACTCAAGCAGCGAGCACGGTGTAACTCTTGACTAGGGAATCTCGCAGAAATGAAGACATTCATCAGTCCCTACGTTTTCGTAGCAGAATCTTTAACATAATTCTATCCAAAGACTACAGTCCAACAGTAATTCCATACTAGGGCTACGCATCCACAATAACGCCAATGTTGTGGAAAAATACGTTAAAATAGAAAGTACGAGCAGCCAGAAAGAATGTACCACATACAAAGTGGCCGACCGCGCAATCCAGTAGCATGAGTTCACTCTATCGTGGATTATTCATAGTACCTTTTCGTAAATCCGATTAGGTACTGTTGATGTGTACGTGCTACGCACAAACTATTATGCCGGCACTGTGACTCATTCGATGGCTCATCTCTTATCCCCACAGCGCATAAATTAAGTCCATTGGGTCCACGTTTGTTGATAATATTTATTCTCACTACATCAACGATCTATAGTACGATAACCAAGGGCGAGTATGTAGTTAACACTATTAAATTTTAGAAAATTGCCATTAAGAGTGGTTTTTGAATTTGCAAAGAATCCATCCTAAATTGGCCTATGTTACATTTATTGTTGTCCAGTGGCAGCCTTCAGCAACGCGTCAGCAACCTGAAATGGCCGTATTTAGTTGACTAAGCACAATCTCAAAATTTATTTATTATACATTTTACTGAACACGTGTAACCCTCATTTCACTGTCAAGGTCACAGTGAACAAGACAGGAATAATTCAGGTAAATGTGATTTAGCAACAGTTTTACAGGCGTTCTGGATAAAGCTTCCGAACACCTTGAATAGCTGTGCACACGAGGAAACGGGATTTTCTCCGACTCTTTCATGTCTCGTAAGTTTCGTCATCGTCGATTAATCATATGCTCCAGTTACAAATGGGAAGGAAAGATCAACGAAAATCACCTCAGCTCGTATAAGTGCTTCAGCCTTAGCTAATTCACTTCCTTCTACGGCGGCACGTTGAGCTGCTTCTAATTCCGTTCGCGCGGCCTGAAAATTCAGGAAAATGAAACGGTCAAAGAAGAAAATGGAGACAAAAAACGATCTTATTACCCAGTGCACTAACGAAAACATCGTTGGTAAACAGCTCAGAATTCATCTTACTCCTTACAAATACTACTGTTTCACGTGCAAGTCAAAAAGAACTTCTAATATGGGAATATCGCTTCTTATCAACTGTGGCAGCAAAACTGACTACAACAGGCATATGAGAGGCAGAATGATATCGCACAAGTTTGTACAAGTACTAGCTACTATACGGCTAGCACCCTGAAGGCTGTGCATATCCTTTTCTAACGGAAAGAATTTTAACAAAAAGCTCGACTCACTGCTTGATCAATATCTTCAATTTTTACAACCTCTTCGGCTAGAACTTGGCAGGAACCATCGATATTCATCGACAATGTGCCCGAGGAGACGAAGAGCTTCGTCACGTTACCTTGAAAATATAACTTTACCAATGCATTTATTGATATAATTGAATGCAGAAAAGTAGCAGAAATATACATGTAACCCTCATTTCACTGCCCAAGCCAAAACAACGTAGACAGGAATAATTCGGGTTGATTGTTATCGCACCATTTTTACGAGTGTCTCAGATATTACCTGCAGACACCCTGAATAAAAGTGCTTTCACTGAATACTGCAACTTCGCAGATGCGTACGCAACTACAACCATTGAGCTGCTTCAGTATTAACAACTGAGCATTGTTCCCGTTAATAATGTGAACCATATCGAGTACCGATTTATGTTTTCGCATCCGACAAAGGAAGTCGTTCAGGGTGTAGAGCGTTTTTCCAAAACTTCGTATACTGTGGGGATTTTCACGTTTAATACAAAACCAAGGTTCATTTTCGCTGAGCGTCCCCCTGGAGGCCGAAAAGTAGGTGGTGACGAAATTTTGCGTCCAAATTTCCAGATTTGCTGTGAATAGCGGCGGCAAACTTGATAGGCTTCCTCCTGATAACTGTAGCGATTTTAAGGATAGCGAAATAAGCCTTTTCAAAATTGGAATTTTTTGTGGAAGAAATTTTTCTTCTAGCTATTGTTTATTACTTGTGAGCACATAAATATCATTATAGCGAAATTTGGAAGCTATTCGATCACAAACAAAGAAACTAGAAGCTTTGAAAATTGGCACACCTTCTTAGTTTTTAAGCTTATGTCGAAACAATTCCAAATTTCTTAGTTATGTCGAAAAAGTTTATGATCTTGCACAACATTATATCTAACGTTTTTGATAAGAAATTGAATATATCAAGTCTTTAAAATGACTGACAAATAACTTCAAGTAGCACTTTACTGAGACCAGCGCCGATTACTGTGCACTTAAACACAAAAAATGTAGTGCTATCA